TGGCCACGCGGCCCAGGAAGTGCAGGGCGGTGGAGTCTTGATCCTGGACGGCGAACAGGAACGGCCGGTCCAGGGTCACCTCCAGGGCCTCAGGCCCCGTCGGCTGCGGGGCTGGCTCCGTGGGCTGCTCCCCCTTCTCTGCTTTGAGTTCAAACAGGACGCTGTTCAGCACCTGCAAAGCGGCAAGCGTTGGGGTCGCTCCTGGAAGCCTCACGGGGCCCAAGGACGGGGTGCAGAGGTGCCCACGGGCGGGGGTGGGGGGACACGGTCCCAGCCTGCGAGACAGTGCACGGTGCCTGCACCCCCTTGACGGCTCTCGCTCAGAGCGACCCACCTGTCTCCACCTTCCACCTGGCTGTCCCGGCGGAACCCCCGGCCACCCGTGCGTGGGTGACCCCACTCTTCATTTTTATTTCTTTTCTTTATTTTTCTTTGTTTGTTTGTTCATTTAATCCTCACCTGAGGATATTATTCCATTGATTTTTTAGAGAGAGTGGAAGAAAGAGGGAAAGACAGAGAGAGAAAGTCCCTGCTGGAGGGGGTGCTCACCACCACCCAGAGCTTGTCCTGTGTCCCTGCTGGAGGGGGTGCTCACCACCACCCAGAGCTTGTCCTGTGTCCCTGCTGGAGGGGGTGCTCACCACCACCCAGAGCTTGTCCTGTGTCCCTGCTGGAGGGGGTGCTCACCACCACCCAGAGCTTGTCCTGTGTCCCTGCTGGAGGGGGTGCTCACCACCACCCAGAGCTTGTCCTGTGTCCCTGCTGGAGGGGGTGCTCACCACCACCCAGAGCTTGTCCTGTGTCCCTGCTGGAGGGGGTGCTCACCACCACCCAGAGCTTGTCCTGTGTCCCTGCTGGAGGGGGTGCTCACCACCACCCAGAGCTTGTCCTGTGTCCCTGCTGGAGGGGGTGCTCACCACCACCCAGAGCTTGTCCTGTGTCCCTGCTGGAGGGGGTGCTCACCACCACCCAGAGCTTGTCCTGTGTCCCTGCTGGAGGGGGTGCTCACCACCACCCAGAGCTTGTCCTGTGTCCCTGCTGGAGGGGGTGCTCACCACCACCCAGAGCTTGTCCTGTGTCCCTGCTGGAGGGGGTGCTCACCACCACCCAGAGCTTGTCCTGTGTCCCTGCTGGAGGGGGTGCTCACCACCACCCAGAGCTTGTCCTGTGTCCCTGCTGGAGGGGGTGCTCACCACCACCCAGAGCTTGTCCTGTGTCCCTGCTGGAGGGGGTGCTCACCACCACCCAGAGCTTGTCCTGTGTCCCTGCTGGAGGGGGTGCTCACCACCACCCAGAGCTTGTCCTGTGTCCCTGCTGGAGGGGGTGCTCACCACCACCCAGAGCTTGTCCTGTGTCCCTGCTGGAGGGGGTGCTCACCACCACCCAGAGCTTGTCCTGTGTCCCTGCTGGAGGGGGTGCTCACCACCACCCAGAGCTTGTCCTGTGTCCCTGCTGGAGGGGGTGCTCACCACCACCCAGAGCTTGTCCTGTGTCCCTGCTGGAGGGGGTGCTCACCACCACCCAGAGCTTGTCCTGTGTCCCTGCTGGAGGGGGTGCTCACCACCACCCAGAGCTTGTCCTGTGTCCCTGCTGGAGGGGGTGCTCACCACCACCCAGAGCTTGTCCTGTGTCCCTGCTGGAGGGGGTGCTCACCACCACCCAGAGCTTGTCCTGTGTCCCTGCTGGAGGGGGTGCTCACCACCACCCAGAGCTTGTCCTGTGTCCCTGCTGGAGGGGGTGCTCACCACCACCCAGAGCTTGTCCTGTGTCCCTGCTGGAGGGGGTGCTCACCACCACCCAGAGCTTGTCCTGTGTCCCTGCTGGAGGGGGTGCTCACCACCACCCAGAGCTTGTCCTGTGTCCCTGCTGGAGGGGGTGCTCACCACCACCCAGAGCTTGTCCTGTGTCCCTGCTGGAGGGGGTGCTCACCACCACCCAGAGCTTGTCCTGTGTCCCTGCTGGAGGGGGTGCTCACCACCACCCAGAGCTTGTCCTGTGTCCCTGCTGGAGGGGGTGCTCACCACCACCCAGAGCTTGTCCTGTGTCCCTGCTGGAGGGGGTGCTCACCCCCACCCAGAGCTTGTCCTGTGTCCCTGCTGGAGGGGGTGCTCACCCTCCACCCAGAGCTTGTCCTGTGTCCCTGCTGGAGGGGGTGCTCACCCCCACCCAGAGCTTGTCCCCGGGGGCCGTACCGGGGAGCCAGGTTCTTGGTCCAGGTCAGGAGGTCGTGCTGGAAGGTGAGGGCCTCCACCTCAGGCAGGGCCGCGGCGTCGTGCGGCTGGACGAGCAGCAGGCCCACGTTGGCGCTGAGCGGCACGCGGGTCAGCGACAGGTTCCTCTGCGGGTCACTCCAGTGTGGGAAGGTGCCCGTGCCCGACAACATGGGGACGGCCACGGAGGTGGCGTTGTCCACCCAGAACTCC